ACAAAATAAAGAACAAAGCTCAGTCCTCTTCATGGGGTAATGTAAGATCCGGAGTGTTCCATTTCTTACATGAACATAACTTTTATTATGCTTTTAGTTTACAGACAGTGATGGCAGGTGACGAGCTCTGGGAGGGCGAATTAATGCTTGTCCGGAATAAGTTGATCCTTAGCCTCCCTTAGCTCAGTCGGTAAAGGCGCAGCTACAAAGCAAGACCATGCTGGAGGTGGCTGGGTTCGATTCCTAGTCCGGTCTAGGAATTGTTCGGGTTGGAAATTTTCTCGACTTCCTTGGGCATACACAATTATACTAATGCAAAAATGGTACAGGCATCGAAAGCTCTCAATTATTAACTGTGGAAGTGCATCTAGAACACTAAGTTGAGAGCACGCATTAAGCTAAAATGCGATAAGCAATAAGCTTGAAATGCGAGAAAGAAGTGATTCACCGTTTCTAAAATCGCGTGCTTGCCATTCAACAAGTTGTTTTACGCAGCTGCAATTTCAACCAGCTTTGAATGCTGTCTGTCTGTCAAGAGAAGCAAATCAATAAATGATTACCAAATCCATTATTTTGTGGCAAAAAATTACAAGTGTTTACTTTACGATTACCGAACTCCCCAGCAAGCTTATCTTTTGCCGAGCAGTTGGCGGTGAAAATCTCGGCAATTAATTGTGTACGATTTCAAACCAGCGGAACCCGATCGCGTACTAGCGTATTATCCTGAAGGATTTTCTTGCTGAGCTGGGTCTCGACATGTACTCAAGAAATGTATGTTAAACGGGCTTAAAGACAAGTGTTTCAAATGCTAGATGGAGGGGAACTCAGATGAATTTCTGCCTTTAGTGTAAAGTCCGGAAACAGTCAGAAAAGTAACTCCCAGTGGTGAGAAAATTGCCATGCCAAGTATCTCTCTTCGTAACATGGAGTAAATTGAGGTAAGAAACTTGAACTTGATGAAAACATTACGGTTATTCAGCAAGTCGTTTTTGTTTATTGCTTATCACGTTCAAAACTTGTGAATTAAGAAATATTTGGATAATTTTCTATACCTGGATTTTTTTCGAAAAACGGCTGGAAAATCAGGAAATATCAGTGATTCTGGTTTACTTCATTGAGTTGACACCCTGTTATTTTAACAAAATTCCTAAAAGATCTTTTTTAGCTTCAGAGCGCTTCTTAAAACTTGAAATAACTTCTTAAAGCTTCTTAACTTCTTAAGGCGTAAAAAGATCAGGAAACTTTGCTTAACTTCAGGGATCTTGCAGAAAATCAATGAAATTCTAAAAAGTTTAGGGAATTTTGTAGGTGTTCTGAGAACATTGTATAAGTCAAGCAAATCACGTAGCAATTCGAGGACTTCGTAAAATCTTATAGAAGTGTTGGGATTTTTTTATTCAAAGAATTTCATAGGAGTTCAGCCAACATAGTAGATGCTTGTAGAAGTTCAGGAAATTTTGAAGAAGCTTACTGATTATTGTAGAAATTCGGCATACTTCTTAGAGCTTCAAAGTTCGATTTGGAAATTTTGGGAGCTTAGTCTTGGTCGAATTGAAAGAATAAAAAAAAAACATGTAACTTGGAAGTTGAGAAAAAATTTCAAGAAGTAAAGAACTTTGTAGATGTTTAAGGATCTTCTTCTTCTTCTTCCTCGCATTTCAAGCTTATTGCGTATGGCATATTAGCTTATTGCGTGTTCTCAACTTAGTGTTCTAGATGCACTTCCACAGTTATTAATTGAGAGCTTTCGATGCCTGTACCATTTTTGCATTAAAGGGCGAACACGAAATTATTGCGACACCGAAAATGTCATGCCAATTTTCTTATAATGTTTAGAATCAAACCAAAATTTTAGGGTAGTTTTATACATATATTTACTTCAAAAATCAAAAGAAACGTTAATCGATGGAGCCTTGAGTGTAAAATTGAACGCATTTTCGCTTGATGCCCTCCATCAAAGTCTTTACAGTGTCATCCGGTACCAGTTGTTACAAGTTCCCCGGTAGCGGTAGAGCAGAACTACCGTAGGGCCAACAAAACACAAACACTAATCGGCATTTGCTCCAACCAAAGCAAAAGAGTGTCGAATAACAGTTTAACATTTATTCATTCGCACCCATTCTCCCACATTCCTACTCCTGATTCCTACTTCCTCTTCTTCCTCTCTCTATCCTTCGTACTTTTCCGGCAACCTTGTGCCTCCTATCATCTTTCCAACTATGTCAATTTTTCTTCTTATGAGTACTCACTTTGCCGGTCGGGTGCACCCTTACCGTCGCACAAACGCCGTCTCGATGATGCTGCTATTCGCACGTCTGTTCGGCTCCACACGCACAACACACCTGCGCTCCTGCCGTCGCTCTGGGTGGGGATTCACTCCTCGAAACACCGTCGATCATATCAACGTAAGTGCTCGCGGGTTCGTTTCCCTCCACGTTGGACGTCGCTTCCGTCGAGACCACTAGTTGCTAGCGGCGTGCCCCGTCGCTTCGATGTCGCAAGCACTCCGAGGAGAATAAACCTCGCCTGAGGGTTCCGCAGGTGATGCGGGCTTCGACACTGACCACGTGTCACGATCACGAGACAATCCGATCCAATGAGGTGCTGAAAGTATGGAACAAAAGCCCTGGAACGACTTCCATTAGCTTCAATGCGACGACCCTTTCGTCTTAAATCACTCACTTCTTTTGAAGGCTTCGTCTTTCGATGCCACGATCCACCGCGGCCGGGCGCTGTCCGTGCGATCGGATCTCGTGCTGCTGATCGTCGTCAATTCTCCACGTGCACCTGTGGTTATGGTACTTTAATTATGGTTATTTTATGTACCGAAATTATGGTACCTCTTCTCGCTGCCGGTATGTACGCTTTGTGTGGCGAAAATCTTTTGATTGCCGCGCCGTTTCCAAGCGGGCCGTTTGCAGATCTCTTCGTTTCGGATCTTTTGGACACTGCCGCAATCTTCCGATATCCGTCGGATCGAAAGGCGGTCGTTTTGGCACCACTCACCGCCGAAATTGCAGCCCGCGCGCCGACGAAGAACAGTTTTCACCACGCACTCTACTCGCACTCGCGACAACCAAAGAAACGAATATTTTCGGGTTCTTTTCCGACCCACGCTCTTTTGCGTGCTGTTTGCACGGGAATCTTTTCACTTCTGCCTTTCGCTGTGTTCGACGGATCCGGTACAGGCTGATGTGGATGTGTGTGTGCGTGCGGAAGCACAGTCAGCAGACTCAATGCTGAATCATTATTCGTCAAAACAATTTGCGTTGCTCGTTCCTTGTCAAGCGATGTGACCTCTGCAGCATCTTTTGTTTATGCACGTTCGAATGTGTTTAAGCAGCAATTGTGTAAAATTACTCGTTTTTACCAAACACAGGAAAAAATTACAACCCAAATCTAAAACGTAACACAGTTTCTCAGTTTTTTTTTCCATTTTCTTAACATGTCCTTCTCGTCTTTGACTGTCTTCTTGCTCTTCCGAAGTTCCCACTTCATTATTACCCAGTACTGCTCCACCGACAGTTTGGCGGATTCATGTCCTTTGGAACAAAATGGACAGAATTGGCCTCATACCACTCCAGGACACTTTTAGAATAGTGGCATGATGCCAAATCTGACCAAAATAGCGGAGCTTCGTCGTGCTGCTGCAAGAACGGCAAAAGGCGCTTCTCGAGGCACTCAGATTTGTAGATCTCGCCATTTACTGTGCCCTTTGTCACGAAAGGCTCACTCCTCAGTCCGCAAGAGCAGATGGCCTGCCAAATGAGATATTTGGAGGCGAACTTCGACATTTTCTTCTTCTTAAATTTGTCGTCCACATCGAACTTGCTCTTGCCGGTGAAAAACTCCAACCCCGGAATTTGCTTAAAATCGGCTTTTATATACGTTTCGTCGTCCATCACACAGCAGCCATATTTTGTCAGCATCTTCTCGTAGAGCTTCCGTGCCCGAGTTTCCAGCTCTCTTCTTTGCATTCTGAACGTAGCTCTGCGACATGCCGATCTTTTTAGCCAAATCACGGCTTGAGACGTTGGGATTTGCTTTAATCATCCGCTTCACCTTTCCCTCCGCCTTTTTGTTCTCCGGTCCCGGTTTTCTTCCAGCTCCTTTGCCGTTGTCCAACGTCAACTGCTCCTGGAACCGCTTCAACACTCTGGAGACGGTTGAATGGTGAATGTTCAACATTTTTCCCAACTGCCGGTGCGACAGATCAGGAAATTCCAGGTGTTTGGAAAGAATTTGTTCTCTCAACTCGCGTTGGTTCACCTCCATTTTCGTTGAATCGAAAAACACGACTTCGAGTTTGACAGCATGTACACAATACACATCAATGAGAAAATGTGCAAAATTTGGTTGATTTTTACCCAATGGTAAAAAAGTTATGCCCTGTTGAATGTGTCGCAATAATTTCGTGTTCGCCCTTTAGTATAATTGTGTGGCAAGTAAAATCATACTCTATGCCCAGGGAAGTCGAGAAATTTTCCAACCCGAAAAATTCCTAGACCGGACCGGGAATCGAACCCAGCCAGCATGGTCTTGCTTTGTAGCTGTGCCTTTACCGACTGAGCTATGGGAGGTCCCAGGAACATAAGAGCTGTTCATTACGGTGCTGCTAACGTGACATAATTTTCAAGGGTTCAAGAAATGCAGACAATATATGACAGAGGGGGTTAAAGGGGATGGGGGTAATTTTTCGCAAATTATGCGTGACATAATTAATGAACGCTCCTTTTGAATCAGGAGGGATTTGATAAACTTCAACATTCAACATTAATCATAACAAGCAATCAGCGGTTAGGGCGAATTATTAATCAATTAATGTATTTGCGGTTCATTTGCCAACAGTCGTTATGTGTATCTTTCATTTATTTCGATGATTTTTTTTTTAAATTGTTTGTTATTTTCAATTTCTCACATTATTTTCTTTATTTCTTCCAATTTTACGTTTCACACCATAACTCACATACACCGCCTCTCACACGGGAACGGGCTCACAGAGCATCACAAATCCACAAAGTTCCTCGCAAGACGCTTCGCAACTGGATGAAACGGTGGGACATCAAGTCCGCTTATCCGATGCCCCGGCAGCTGAAGGAAGCGGCGGAGAAGAAGCGCATCATTAAGGAACTGACTGAACAAGCGCAGCAAATCGGTGACGAACCGACGCAGTAGTAGTAGTAGTAGTAGTAGCAAACCAACCAACCAACCAACAAACCAATTATTATTATGTACTAAAACTTAATATACATATACGTTTTTACACAAAGAACGAGGGAACCCCGAATGAAGTAAAACAAATATAAGAAAATGATAGTCAGTTTGAAACAGATGGCAAAGAGAGACAAATTTATGAATATATAGGTATATATTTCTTGAGTTTTAGCCGCTAAGTCATACCCCATTAGACGTGTAAGGATACCTTCCCCAGGAAAAGGAACGGAAAGAAGATGGTTCAAAGTGAAATCTAGTTCGGTAGCGTTTAGGTTCTTTTTTATGTTTTTCAAAAAACATACACAAAGCTAAATAAATGAAAATCTCCTATCTTTAGTTTAGAACTTTTGATATGTAATTATTTTTTAGTGAAGCACTTTTTCATTACGTATAAATATATTCTAACTTACCGTAGAATATCTTCTGGGTAAGAGTGGAACGTCATACATCGCTGCTAGTGTGAGAATGATTTCATACTGTAGAAAAGTACATTTACTTCTAGTCAAATGTTGTAAAACCACAAACCATTAGCTTTTTTCATCCCAAGGGCTTTATACGATTCTAGTTTTTAATTGGCATTACATCAATATACAAATAGTCACGCTCGGTTGCAATGTAGTAGGTATTTACCATTTATATCTTTAGAGGGCATATGATTAGTGTATTTCGTACCTATGATTTCTACTAACTGTGCACCAATATTTTATACATCCCGTTTTAGTAAGTACTTATTCCTTAATGTGGTAGCTTTTCGGAACGATGAGTGTTGTACCCGAGGGCAGTCTTGTTTGAATAACTTATTTTATTTGGAACCATTCTAGTGTCGTTTCTCATCACCAAAAATTGTGCAAGTCAATAAAGTAATTTGAACAAAAACCAAAACCGGGTTTCAATATCGATTGTGTGAAAGCCACTGATAATGAGTTCTTGCTAATGTTTAAATGCAAGAGGAACGAACAGCCATATCATCGTTTTTCACCCGTAGAATTCGCTATGGCAAACGTGACCTGTGAGTATGACAGCAGCAACCAGCAAAGCGGCAGCAGAGGTAGCAACGGAAGCCTGCAGATCGATCAACCAGCGAACGATGGATCCACGGTGGGACGTCGAGTCCGACGGTCGGAAGCCATTCTACGGCAAGCAGCTGAGTGTGTATCGCGCGGAGAAACATTCCAAACCGTGAGCGATATGTTCAGCATTCCGATTTCGACCATCAGGTAGGTCTTATCCATATTTGTAAACCTACGCTAGCTGTCAATCGAAACAATTGCAGATTCTACATGGCCCGCAAAGGAATCCTGCCGCGACGCAAACGAGGTCGAACGGCAATTTTGCCGTACGTTATTGCCGGTACGAGTCAAGCTTCACACGCTGCCTCATCGTCATCGTCCGGCCCTCAAACGACAATTCAATTTTCCCAACAACAACAGCATCAGAACCGGAGTCGGTCGGAAAGTCCCATGGAACCACCGTATCACTTTGCAAACTACAAGCTACCTGAACTAAGACCAAAGTTGGTCTAGCTTGCGACTCAATAAGCTAGACTCTTCTAGTCGACGCATATAATAGGTATTAGCAGTTTTAGTTATTCTTTTAAGAAGCCTAACCGTCTGGACAGATTGATCATTCCAGAATCACACATATATTGATCACTCAGGAAACTTCTCGATTTCCATACTTCAGGTTGAGCCAGAGAGAAGCACTAACACAAAAGCAGGATTCACCCACAGTATTTCGTACAGAATGTATAAGTTATGTTAGATCAGAAACGAATTGGTACAAAGTAGACGTGAAAGTGGTACTGTACGATTTTTTTCAGTAACACAAATTAATAGATTGATCAAAACATGCAATTGAACAGTTTGAGAATCACCGAAAAAGACGACATAACTCCTTTAGATTATAGATAAGCAGTTCAAACCTGATTAGCGTAAAGCGTAGATGTTTTATCACTTTAAGGTAGAGGAAGAAAATGACGTATTTTTCATTTCAATTGTCTATAATCTATGTGTAAATATGGAACACAATCAATCAATATGCGGTTGCTGTAGTTTGCCGAAAAAAATCAGTGTTTTAGCTATATAAGATGTGAAGGGAGTACAATTTCGATTTCAAGCGACTTTCAGTATTAATTTATGTTACATAAATTTCATCACAATCTTAAAACGGAGCATACCGAAAATAACTAGCTTTTAATTTCCATCCCACCCTGGCACCCATAGCTCGTGTTTTAGAAATACCTATAACAAATCTAGTGGATATCACTTCAGGCACACAATACTAAAAAATCAGTATTTCAGATGTGAAGGTTATCTAAATTTAGGTGATAGCTACGTGCCGGTGTTTTAGAAGAATAAATGGTTTCGAACAAATAACTAACTCTTTCGTCTGATTTTTCTGTAAACACAGTTAACTCTCCCTTATTTGAACTCGACCACCCTCCCAAACCAACATAGTGACAGATGTTTTTTTTCAGAACCTTCTTAATCTTAATACGCACCCAGGAAAGTTTGTTTTTAGTTTAATAATTTTGAATCATTTTAGGGGACCATATACTTATTACGTAAGATTTAAAAATTAAATTTTCTTACGTTTGCTTACAAGGGAGGCAGGGAATCTCAGAAAATACCTTACGAAATCATGAAGAATACAGAACATGTCAATGTTCAATATTAGATCTTACTAAGGGGGAGCTGGGACAGAAAAATCTTACGCAATAAGTGCATGGTCCATAAGTAGCCAATTCTCTTCCAATTTCATTGGTCAAAAACTTGTAAAAATTGTTTAAACAATATTAGACCACCATCAGGGTGGTAGCTTAAAACGTCGGTAGGCCAAGTCGAAGGTGACGGATTCAATTTCCGGTCCGGTCTTGGAAATCTTTCGGGTTGAAAATTTTCTCGATTTTCCCGGGCATAGAGTATCATCAACAATCAATACGAAACTAACGATTTTAAATTGGCTCACTACTTGACTAGCCTATTGGTCCCAAGCAAACGATTAACGTACTCCATTCTAGTCGTAATTCTGGTACTACGCACTGTTTGACTTGATTCGCTATGAAAGTTTGACAGATAAAATGAGGTGTTATTGGTTTTTCCTATGTTTCGAGGGGTAAATCGATTAGCTAGGGACCGAAGAGTGAACCAGAGCTGAGCCAAAAAGTTGAGCACGTTATTTCGGGACCTTCTAGTCTTAGAGTTACCTCTATGGTATCATTGTGCTGGCCACACAATATACAAATTCATACCTTACCTTACCAATCAGGCTATGGCCTTGTTGTCCTCTGCTGTCCGAAGAAGTCGTCTCCACTCTACTCGATCCACGGCCGCACTTCGTCAGCATCGTAGTCTGCGAAGGGTCCTCAGGTCGCCTTCTACTTAGTCGATCCACCTTGCCCACTGCGCGCCTCTTCTTCTTGTTCCTGTTGGGTCGCTTTCTAGAACCATTTTCACTTATAGTCGCTATATTCATAGTCTGGCGGATAGAATCTCGGGAACCAATTGAGCTGTCAAATAGCGGAACCAATCGAGCAAATCACGACCAATAACAGAAAAGTGCACATCAGCTATTGCCAACAAAACTTCGAAAACCCTTTTCTCGTGACTCAAGGCTCGCCTACGCAAGCTAACACCATCTTTGGGTTGAGGAAAGTTTCCCCTATCCGACGACGCTGGTAATTTACGTTCGATTAGCGAGGAAAGAATAATCAACGTTTTGTTTATAAAAGTTCATAGTACCTTTTCAATTATTGGTCTACAATATATTGAATTTGTTCCGCTTTTTGATAAATCGAAATTCTATCCGCCAGACTATGAATATAGCGACTATATTTTCACTGGGTCGTCGTGCGACATTCTTACCACGTACCCAGCCCACCGTAGTTTCTCATTTTTTGCCATGTGGACGATGGATGGTTCTCCCAGCAGCTGATGCAATTCGTGGTTCATTTGCCTCCTGCACGTTCCGTCATCCACCTGCACTCCACCGTAGATGGTACGCAACACATTCCGTTCGAAAACACCACGAGCAAAGTCCAGGTCTCGTGGCCGTAGAGGACCACCGGTCTAATTAGCGTCTTGTAGACAGTCAACTTCGTGCGGCGGCGAATTTTATTCGGGAAGTAGGCACGATTCCCTGCCATAATACGTCTTTGAATTTCTCTGCTGGTATCATTTTCGGCGGTAACCAGTGAGCCCAAATACACGAACTCATCGACCACCTCGATTTCGTCACCATCAATCTGAACTCGGGGTGGGAGGCTAACATTGTCTTCCCTAGAACCTCTTCCTAATACATAAATTTTGTCTTTGATGCGTTGATGTCAAGTCCAATCCGCCTAGCTTCAGCCTTCAGTCTGATGTACGTTTCCGCCATCGTCTCAAAGTTCCGTGCCATGATGTCGATGTCATCGGCGAAGCCAAGAAGCTGGATGGACTTCCTGAAGATCGTGCCACTCGTGCCTTCTAACGCGATGTTTAATAGCAGACACGAAAGTCCATCACCTTGCCGTAACCCCCTTCGAGATTCAAAGGGACTCGAACTCGAACAACGCACATCACTCGATCCATCGTCGCCTGGACCAATCGCGTCAGTTTATCCGAAAATCCATACTCGTGCATAATCTGCCATAGCGGATCTCGATCGATTGTGTCGTATGCGGATTTGAAATCGATGAACAAATTATATGTGGGCACGTTGTATTCGCGGCATTTCTGCAGAACCTGCCGAATCGCGAAAATGTGGTCTGTAATAGCGCGGGCACTCATGAATCCCGCCTGGTTTTGTCCCACGTACTCTCTTGCAAATGGTGACAGGCAGCGGCATAGAATTTGGGAGAGTACCTTGTAGGCGGCGCTCAGCAGTGTGATCGCGCGGTAGTTTCAGTAATCAAACTTGTTGCCATTTTTGTAGATTGGGCATACGACACCTTCCATCCACTCCTCCGGTAATATATCCTCCTCCCAAATCTTGGCAACTACCCAGTGCAGCACTCTAGCCAGTGCTTCACCACCGTATTTTATTAGCTCACTTGGGGCTGTCCATAAACTACGTAGACAGTTTAGGGGTGGGGGGGGGGGGGGGTTGACAATTATCCACGGTCCATACAAATTTTAAATTTTTTGTATGGTCAATTGTCTACGCAGGGGGAGGGGGGGGGGCAAGAATCCCAAAAAACCGTCTACGTAGTTTATGAACAGGCCCCTTGATAGTTGATCTACACCAGTTGCTTTGTTGTTCTTCAGCCGACCGATCTCCTCCTCAACTTCTTGAAGATCAGGGTCCGGTAGCCTGTCGTCTTCTGCGCGTGCTCCAAGGTCTGTTGCCGTGCCACCTTCGTTTTCTGCCGCATCACCGTTGAGGTGCTCGTCATAGTACTGCTTCCACACTCACACTCGTTCGTGAGAAGGTTACCGTCCAAGTCCTTGCACATATCGCCTTGCGGCACGTAGCCTTTGCGCGAACTTTTTAGCTTCTCGTAGAACTTCCGGGTGTCGTTTACGCGGTACAAATTTTCCATCGCTTCGCGATCTCGGTCTTCCTGCTGACGCTTCTTCCTTCGGCAAACCGTTCGCGCTTGTCTGTATCGCTCCACATTCAATCACAAGCGGGGTTGCAGCATTCTCGCCTCTGCTGCATTCTTCTCCTCTACTAACAGTTTGCATTCGCCGTCAAACCAGCCATTTCTTCGGTCCGGGATCGCACTATCTAGTGCCGCTGCAGCAGTACTACTTATGGCGGAACGGATTTCCTTCTGCCATCTTCAAGAGTAGCTACGCCAAGCTGCTCTTCCGTGGGTTGTGCAATTTCCAGCTGCTGCGCGTAGTC